GTTGTGATATATTGTATGTAGTAGAGTCCGGTAGCGAGGAAGAGTCTAGGCTCCTTCGCCGACGAGGAGACCAAGGCAGCATTGCAGCTCGTCTTCCGACCCGTCTCTCTAAAGATCTAGGCTTCCCTCCCTTGCAGCAAGCTCATTTTAATTATTCATTAGTAACATCTGTAGTGTACGGTACGGTACCGGTACCAGGCTCGAGGTGGTGAATGAGGTGGTGCTTCAGCTCAAATTTCATGTACATGTAGCATGTACACGTACATAGTACAGTAGCCAGATTCTCACAACATCGATGCAGACTGGAGCTGTACTGCACTGGAGTGTGGATTGTGGAGTGTACGTTGTGCCGTAAAGTACAAAGACTGCTGTCCTTGCTGGCGGGATGATGGACACTCAGTATCAGTACTTACCGTTGTTAATAGCCTTGTACCAGTTAAATAAAGCGACTATTAAATACATGATCCGAAAACGAAGAGAAGTAATAAATCTTTCGATTTCTGGGTTCGCACAGTAATTAAAATTGTTTCTGTGCCATAATTAAAACAAGGTTTTTCATTTTTCAGACGAAACACTGAAACACCGTCCTGCAGTGTCCGGTGTCCAGCGAGCGGTCATTTTGTCATTTTACTACCGTACCTGACAGTTCTGGCGTCAGAATGGCCGGCGCAGCTACGAATTAATTGGTGCGACCGAGCTTCCGAGTACTATAATAGCTAGCTATTATTGGTATCCGAGGCAACGACGAGTCACCGAAACCATAAAGTGCTTTGGGGATTCCAGTTCCTTTCTACCATTCTACCCTGACCTGTTCAGAAAATCGTTCATTTGCCTCTCATCGTCCGTTCAACCATGAGTAGCCGAGGGCCGAATCTCAGTGAGTATCAGCAGGCTCTAGGAGTCCCACCGGGCATGGGCCACCTCACTGAGGAACATCGGCATTTGTGGGAAGAGCTCTTTCGGAGGCATCCCGCCATGATGGTATTCCCAGAGGAACGAGAGTGGGCTCTTGCCATCAAGCAGGCTGCTGCGGAAGACCCCGAGCTACTGCCACTGAGCGACCTAGAGTACTATCAATACGCCGTTGTCACGCAGGGTAACGTGGCCAAATCCCTGCAGAGAATGCGAGGTATGCAACTGTTTCGCCAAGAATACGGGATCAACGATACCATCGAACAGGCGAATGAATTGATACACGCCCTGTTGGTCCAACAGCCCGGTTTACTATTGAGTGTCGACAAGGCCAAGACTTCGCCTCAGCAGCAGGGTCAAATGGCCACCATTGATGCAGCACAACGAATGTTGGCCGACCTTCAATCTCATTATCTCATGGTATTTGATTTTGCCAAAATCAATCCCAAAAACGTTAGACTCCCCAAGGACAAACGAGACTTGCTGGGAGCTTTGTATTATCTTCATCAATCCACTCAAATTTCCCCCCGGTCAATCCGAAACGGCATACTGTTCATTGCCGAATGCGATGGCATGTCCTTTGAAAATGTTAGTCTGGACTTTGTAGGTCCCATATGGAGAGAGTTGAAGCTCCACTATCCCGTCATTTTGAAAGAGATTAGTTGGCTCCGGGCTGCCACAGCTGCCACCGTCATGTACGGACTCTGCAAGCACTTTTTGCCACAAGAAGTCCAGAACAAGGTCAATTTGGGTTGCGAGTTTGAAGCCTTTGATGGGCGGCTCGATGAATTGTTCCTGACACATCGTACGCAGGAAGAAAACAACTTGTGGATTTTGCAGAGAGCAGAGACCAACTTGAGAGAGAGAGATCGAACAGCCAGACTGCTTCTGTTGGCATAGCACGCCGGCTAGCTATCACCGTAGTCAGGCTGCATGCAGGCTGTTGGACACTGCTAAGATTCTTGCGAACCTGATGTGAACCCGTTGCACGGTGACATTGGTCCGGCATCTCCTGTCCCATACCGGTACGGTACACAGATCACTCCGCCTTGCACTCGCCTGTAACTCGCAATTGACCACATTAAAACTCGGCCCAGCCTATCCCGGCCCTTCATTGGTGGCCCTCTGGCTGCGACCCTCAGCTAGCTAGCACCCTCTCAGTTCACTCTTGCAAATATATTTTCTGAGGCGCATCAGGACCATGAGGTCGCCATAAAAACATGTACATTTATCTATTCTTATACTTCACCCTATCCAAGCACCACGAAATCAAAATACAAACAATCTCTCCTTTCCAGAAACAAACAAAATCATGCAGCCACTTGCAATAAATATACAGTACAATCGTGTACGCGAGTTCCAATCTTTACATAGCCACAACCAAAACAACACGAAAAAGAATGAATCGAATCAAAATCATAGAGATGCATCTTCTTGTGCATGTGCATGTGGTTGTTCCGGAAGCAATTCCAAATGTCGAATAGCTTCGGACGCGGATCCTCCGCAAAATGTCAGGTGTGTGAAATATACGTTCAAATCCTCCATGGGATCATCAAAATGAGTCCGCAGAATTTCATGGACAGTTTCTTGGGTAGCCGCCGCACGACACAGGGCGCGATAATGAGGGTCCGAGACGCCATCCAAATAGCAACACAACCAGAGACCCTTGGTGGCAAAGAGACTGAAATATCCCTTAGGGTTGCCATCGAAGAAACAGTCTTGGAAATCTCGGCAGGTCATGTTTCGAAAGTTGCCCACGTGGACCTCACAGTCGGCCAGCTGCGACATGGGACAGGGAATGGGCTCCACGAGAGGAGACACGGTAGTGGCAGCTGTGGGCAACCGAACCACCCACCAACCGTGATCCGTGGGTTTGCCCAAGGCAAAGTCGTGTTCGGCATAGACGGGGAATCCATTCTTGCCCGTAATCCGGACTCGTTGAAAGCTGTCCACTTGACGTTTGAGGCGTCGATTTTCTTCTAACAGCTCTGCGACAACCTTGTCTTTGAGTGCTGCGGCGACAAAGGGTGCCAGATCGCTCATGGTTCTGGATGGATTGGGATTCGTACTGGGAAGTGCCCTCTCTTTGACTATGATGGATGAGACGATAGAGTGAAATCCAAACAGAATTCTCGCCCTTGCCTGCAGGTGTTCTTTGGTATAAGTGCGTGTCGCGTGTCACGTCGACGGGGTATCGGCGATCACAACTTGGAGACAAACTATTTCGTGAGAGTTTCCGAAGGACAGAGCTTCTAGCTAGTGTGGTTTCCGGGAGGCGATGTTGCAATCTATGGCTGTCAACATGGCACCAATATTCACTCTCGAAAGGCCAAGCAGTGGTTTGATTCTTATCGATGTGAACAACACAACAAACGATGTGATCATGCGATCTGTTGATGCAGGTTCCAGAATTCTTCGACAGAGCATTCATTCGTGCATAAACCTGTGACTGAGGTAAGCTTCAACATTAACCCTATCAAGCATCAGCAAGCCATCGGTGCGGTACCGGTCTCGTAGTGGTAGTACTGGTACTAGTTGTTCCAAGCCTTGAAAGCTTGGATGTTTGGGTCGGATTGTTTGTGGTGTGGTTCAGACTCGGGGGGGGGGGGCTGGGCTAGAGTAGGTGGATTATCTAGGAAGCCAGCCAGGGCAGGCTTAAGCCAAGAAGAGGCGAAATTCAGGCAAGAAGAGCGAAATTCAGGATAGGTTCCGGGGATCGGGGGCAAGAAATGGAGGACTGATAGGGAAATGCCCTTTCAGTTTTGGGTTGCCAATGAACCAGACCTTGAGTGGCCATTGGTCACGTTTCTGGACTTTGGGATTCGGGCTGGCAAGACTGCTCAAATTGGGACCATTCTGGACATCACTGTGGTCCCCATTGTCCAGCCAGAGCAACTTACTTGAGCAATACAACAACTACTCCATGGCCAATGTGGGATGGCTTGTCGAGTCACTGGCCCTTCAGCAAGGACTTCCAGTGGAAGAAGTGGATGCTGTTCCCATTGGACCAGTCCAGTTGTTGACAGAAGGAGGCTATGTCCCGACGACACCCGACATGCCCGGCCCTTACACACCATTGTGGCAGACGTTCCCCGCCCATAACCTGCCAATCTACAACTCCAACCTGAACACCGGCGTTTTTGTTGACCCCATCCTTGCTCTCATTGAGAGTGGAGAACCTGTGTTTACAGCATCCGTTGACACCTTTGATGTAGAGGGGCTTCGCCAAGAAGGTATTGCCAAAATGGTTGAAGCAGTCGGCTGTATCAATACGGCGCCCTGGCGCCCACCTTCTACCCCATCTTTGACAGCTTACCGCGGGACCATGGAAATCAATCCGTCGAGGCACTTTTGCATGCTGGGATCTACTGGAGAACTTACTTGCTTAACATTCTGCTGGCTAGCTCCAAGGGTGTTGTGGTGGTCTTGGACAATGACTGTGGCAATCTATACACTTACAAAATTGATGGTTCCGATGCACAATGTCTTGGTCGAGGAGACCTGCACGATGTGAAATATGACTACTTGAAAGCAGCTGTCACGGTTGAATCTCTGCTGGACATGGACTCCTCCGACCAAGAAGAGTCCACCAAGGGCCAACACCATTATGGTCTCCGTGTGTACCCCTCTCAAGAACTGGAAGACGCATACATGACCAACAAGCCTCTCATCTTTGCCTTGACCTTGGCAGCTGTGTTCGTCTTGACCTGTGCTACCTTCCTACTCTATGACTATCGATTGTCTACCAATCGGCGAATCAGTCGGGCAAACTCGTCCAGTCCCTATTTCCAGAACAAGTTCGTGATAGACTCTATGAAGAGCAAGAGGCCAAAGAAAAGAAAAGAAAGGTTCTGCCAATGCGTGGTTGGACAAACATAATCAAACCGAAAACGATGGAAGCTTTGGAGATACGAAACCCAGCGCTATTGTGAATATGTGAATGCACCGTGGTAAGTGAATTGCCTGGAGCTAGCTAGCTGGCTCTCTGGTACCCTCTGGAGACATTCTGGTTCGCTGTTGGAACTCACAACATGATTCTTGCTTACCGGTACCCTTCTTGTACAAACAGATATTTGCCGATATTGCTGGCTTTACCAAATGGGCCTCTTCCAGGACCCCCACTGAAGTGTTCGAGCTTTTAGAGACAATCTATGGAGAGTTTGATCGGCTTGCAAAGAAGCGAGGTGTCTTTCAAGATTTGAACTTTGAGGTTTCCTCGTTGTGGAATCTAGTATCTGCCCTGTTCTTCGCACTTGTCTCGCTTTATCTTTTCCCTCTGGGCACAGATTGGCAAGCACGAGCAGATACGGAAGCTGGCACTACAAGCAAGGGGCTGCATAACGTCTTGTGACTATTCATGTATGCTCGCTTGCTTTGTCACGTCTCACAACAGTTTCTCCTGAAATATAGGTGGTTGTTATGTTGCTTGTACCGGACTGCCTTTGGCCCAGCCCGGCCATGCCATCATCATGGCAAAGTTCTGTACGGATTGCTTGAAGAAGCTGCACTCACTGATCCACGAAGTTTTGATAGACCGGCTCGGCAAAGACACGGGCGACTTGACCAAGCGGTTTGGGCTCCGTACGTTTCTTGTTCGTTGGTGTGCACCATCCCCTCCCTCTCATTGCTAACCATGACATGTTCCTTCCTCAAACAGACTCTGGTCCCGTCACGGGGGGGTACTTCGAGGAGAAAAGGTATGCGGTTACATTGCGGTTTGTTTCGTTGGCTGCTCTTTCTAAACACCATGACGATCAGCGGCTCACGCTGTTTCCTGTCTTTACTTAAAGGCCCGTTTTCCAAATCTTTGGGGATACAGTCAATGTTGCTGCTTGCATGGAGAGCAATGGACTGCGTGATAAGATCCAAGTGTCTCAGGTCACGGCAGATTTGATTGCGGCAGCTGGAAAGGGATCGTGGTTGACCAAACGCGATGAACTGGTTACAGCCAAAGGCAAGGGAGATATGCAGACATCCTGGGTGAATATTGCCTCCACAGGACGATTGATTGCTGCTACATCCACCAGCCAATCCGTTGAGTCCATGTGGGACAAAAGCCATCGCGACGATTATGTCGTCGTCGACGGCAAGTTCACCACGGTTGACGTAGCTCACAACGAGAAAACTATCACAGCAATTCCGAAAAGACGTTTCTGTTCAGCTACAATCGTAAAATACATTGACATACATGTATATGTTTCTAAAGAATACTGACCCCAAGTCAAAAACAAGGTACCGACCGCGAAGTGTCTTAATTGAACAGTTCTTTTGCGTTGCCGACCATCTCTTCGACAACTTGTCTTCCCTTCTGCTCCCATTCTTGTCGGTTCCGGACCGCGTAGTTAAGATACTGATGAGGAAAAAGACACGAGACAAAAAGGTTGGTGTGAGACTGTGGCTGCACTTCACTAGCTAGATGGAACTGCGGGACTCGGCTCACCTCGTCACTGCTGACACCGAAGACACCACAATCCTTCAATTTCTTGGCAAGTGGGATGATATAGTAGTCGAAGAAACCCAGTTCGCCCCTGTACCAGCATTCAGAGGGGTCTTTGTCCCCAGCTCTGCCATCCAAGTAAGCCTTGTAGCATTCTTGGAAGAATCGCTCATTCCATTTTCTAGACAGAGAAAGTAGAGGCAGTAGATGTCAGAAGCAAGTGGTTCAAGACCTCGAACAAAGCTCTCGTTCCTCCTCTTTCTTTCAAACCAGTCCTCACCTGTAGATGTGCCAATGCTGCATTGTGTGCGCCACGTCACTTGCTTGAAGTAGATGCTCAATCTGCAAGGAAAAGGAAGCTCGGGTGAGGCACGGAAGGTGCTGATCCAACTCATACAACTCGTTTGTATTAGGAACTTACGACAATGGTGGCCTTGCGGTTCACTCCTTCCTGCCCGTCAAAATCAATATGCTCTCCCGAGAATGCCTTTTCCCAGCGTGCGTCTCTCATGCGTTTAAGATTCTTATCGACGATATCGGTTGCCATCACGGCGTTCACAAGGAGCTGACGAAACCTTGACAACTCTTGCTTGTTGCCGTAAATTGCGGAACGAAGCTCTTTGTATTGTGAACTCATCAGAAGCTCCCAACTGAGGTCAACAGAGTTCTACACAGAAAAGATTCGTATCAAGACAAAGGAGCACATATAGTTAGCATCTTGTTGGCCAATTATTTTGAGACAATCACAGCGTTGCTTTCGTACCTGTTCAGCAACACTCGTCCCATTGTACTTCTCCGACATCGGTGAGCCCTCTTTCACAAGCTGTGAGTTGGGCACTCCAGGGTGATCCTATTCAGAGGCACAAACCAGAAACACAAAGAGGCGCTCACTGTCAGGAAAACCAGGACTCAAGAAACATCACGTGCCCCGCGTGCATGGCAACACTCACAACATCGTGGATGAGGGCAGAAAGCACACAAGCAAACTGAGTAAGCGGATCCGAGGTGATGCTAAATAAAATAATTGATGCACAAGGTTAGACTTCCGTTCAACAGAGTGGCACGTGAGCATTGCAACCCACGAATCTGTACTTACCCGTATGTGTGGCTGCAACAAGAAGGAGGGTACACGAAAGACGAGGGCACGAGAGGAAATGGATCAGGTTGTGAGTGGACAGTAAAGTCTTGCGTGAACAGGCCAAGAAGTAGCAGACGACATACTCATGCATGGATGCCCTTTTCATGGAATCAACAGTTCCCTCTCCTTCCTGCTCGAAGATATCCACGTCACATCTCTGAATTCTAGAGAGCAGTTTCACGGCACTCATCGCAACATGGCTTGCATGTTCGACTGGGGGACAACAGAGATGGGTGTGAGAAAGGTCTTACCAGGCGGAACCAGGAAACGATCGTGGACCTACAATTATGGAAGGGGTTGGGTCGATAGCAGGAGCATATCTTGGTGACGAACTGCTTCACCTGCCTCTGCACTTCAGACGGAAGTTCAATGGTTTCAATGCCTGGCTGTCGTGCAGCTGCTTTTGCATCGAACAAGGGGAGTTCAATGACCTCAGCCACTTCCTCAATGACTCCGCCGTCTTTTCCTGTATGTGCCTCCTGATCCCTCACGCTGTTCTTGAGTGCCGACTTGCTGAGTTCTGCTGCCTTTCTACGAGCTGCAATCTGCTTGAGCAACCGACAAAGCACATCCACGTTCCAGTCAACAAGTCGAGCCATCTTGCCTGTGACTTTGATGGCAGGCTCCAAGTTGGTATTCTGGGCTTCATCGTCTTGCGCTTCGTCTACAAAGCTTGCCACTGAGCCGCCGTCATTGGAACTTGACGCTGTTTCCGATCGATCGTCCAGCTCCAGCCAGTAAGTTTGCAGCAAGCCCTATCAATGAAGATCGGAGTGTAAGATCAGTGTGTCCCAACAGTCCGCACCACAGCACTAGTAGAAACTAACCTTTCCCTTCGCATCAATCTTGTCTTCTCGCGGGCTGATCCATCCGTTTTTGCCCGCAGCAATCAACAGATCAGCAGTTTCTTGAGAGATGTGAATCTTGTTCTTTTCTCCCAGAGTTTCGACTCTTGCGCAGGTATTCATCGTGTCGCCAAAGAGCTGCGAGAGTCACATGAACAAGAAGCAGCGTGAGAACACAGCTTCGCTCAAACGGGGCAAAACACCGCATGTCTTATACTTGCCTGGAAACGAGACCGCTCTCCTCGAAGCACTCCAGCGGTGACGGGGCCACTAACAGAATGAAACACAAGAAGGAAAGGTGAGATTTCCAGAAGAGACAGCAAGCCAGGGCACGTAAGGACCCGTGCTACATACGAGTGAATCCCCATTCGGCAAGTCAGATCTGCCGTGTCAGGTCCCAGAGACGTCTCCAGCTTTTTCACAACCGACCACATCTTCTGCATGCACTCCCTGGCAAACCTGCACATCAAAAGGGCTGCAATGGAAAGGACAAAAGAACAAACCGTGATTAGGTACTTCTGAGAACATCAAAGCCCCATGTCGATTCCATTCCATTCGAAGTATGCTCACCGTGATCCTTTCTCGGATTTGGCAACCCTGTTACCGCAACATAACTTTGGTGCATTAGGGAAGAGAAACAACAGATGAGCAATTGATGGCGTCTCATTTTCCCCCTTCATGGGCCACTTCAGCGGCAACATACCAGTCTCCCACTAAAAGTATAATGGCCGAAATCAAATTCAAACCTTCAGTGAGATGATGGGACCACTTTGAACTGTAGCATATACTCCTGGAACGTACCCGTCTCGACCTTGAATACTTTTCTCTGCGAGGCAATTTCCTGTAATAACACGGCGACTGTCAAGTTAGAGAAGAATATCGAGGGTAGCAAAGACCCAGACGTGGGATGCTACGTACATCAAAAGCATGGTAGATAGTCTCAAGTAGGGTGAACACCTGTTCCGGCCCACGTGCAGAGCTCCAACTGCGAAAGCAGCATGTGTAAGTACGGCTGTGGGTGAACTTTCCAGCTAACACGACCAGAGAAACACCAAAAAGACAAACTTACGCTGTGAATCCAACCAAGTCGGCAAAAATCACGGTTGTTTCGGCAAAGTAATCGGCGATTGGGGCCGTCTTGAACTGCCCATGCTTGGTCACTTCACTGTGCAAGAAGCTCGAATCTTTGGTGCTTTTTTTGGCTTTGCTGCTGTCCTCGGCCATCAATCGATCGCGAACGGCCTTTGGAAACAGCCCGGAAACAATCGAGTTACTCTTGATGGCGGCTTCCATTGTTCTGTTTTGACGGCGTGTCACCAACAACTACGCGCGCAAGTCGGAAGAACAAGTAGCGAGTTAGTCGACACAAGGCAGTCGGGCAAGCAGCCGTACTAGTGGCTGCAAACATGTATGTATGTACTCACATCATAGACAAAGAGGATCACGGCCGTGACGCCGAATGCGGCCAGAACCAGGGTTGTGAAAATCATTGCGTGATTGGTTTTGTATTCTTCCTCAAAGACAACACTGGGGTAGATGTTGAGAGTATGAGGGCAAAGACCCTCGTTTTCGTGGACATCATCGTACAACTCCAAAGGCACCGTAACTCGGTAATGATCATACTTGGGGTCATGCCTGTCGCCGTATCCAATAAAGTCACCCTTCTTTCCATAGACTTCATACGTGAACGGCTGTGCACAGGTTTCATCGACGACACAAATGATGCCATTGGTTCCGTCGGGCAAACTCTTGTCGAAAAAGTTTCGGTACGACGTCAAGCCCAAGACGAATCCAATGGGGTCCATTTCCCGTACCACATGACCCTCCACGACGGTCTCTGTGGTATCATACCTCGGGTAGACCAGGTCCATGAGAAAGGCATGTGGCTCGAGCTTGCGTTCCTTTTCGTGATCATCAAACATCCAATCAAAGAGTAGCCCAATTTCGGTGGCAGCACTCATGACTGTGTGTTTGACCGCGAGATTGATTTTGTGCAATTGCTTGAGGCGTGGATCGGAGAGCAGATCGACATTGACCACGTCGGCATTGCGAGGAGAAGACTGCCAGAGAGGACCAAAGATATCCCCCGGTTTGCCTTGGAGAGGTGTTTTGGTACCGTCTTGTTCGAGCCAAAAGATGGATTCCGAGATGCGGTTTTGTGTGACATTGGGAATGAGGATGAGATCGTTGTTGTGGGAAGACTGAAGTTGACGTGGTTGTGGAGGAGGTTGGAGGAGGCGACGACGACGATCTCCCTCATATGACTGAAATGTCCCGTGGAGTGGATCACGGTGGATGGGATGGACTTCCCTCAGACGGGCACTCTCATTGAGCCATCCCTGATGTCCTTGAGCATAGGCTTCCCACTCTGACTGCTTGGAGCCATCTACGAGCGGGACAAAGGCGGACATCATGATACCACCCATCCCATCCGTATAGCCGCCGTGGACTTCAAAGTGCGGATGGGTAAAGTTGGGGAACTGTGCATCGACGAGCATGGAAGCGGTGGTCATTTCGGCGCTCAACCTGCATGTACAAGCACAGCAAGCAAGCAAGTGGGGTGAGTAAGGAGAGGTGTTTGTTGGGAACATACATGACTGGATGAAAGAAAGTCACTTACATTTGCATGAGGGCGAAGTTGTACTGGACTTGCCACTGAACCTGGTCGACCAAAGTACGAGTGACTCGATCATACTCGATTTCAAAGGTCCTCTTGTCACCTCGGTCGGCAAACACGTAGACCGCGGCAGAAACGGCAATGGCAGCCACGACAATGGCACCAATCACAGCCCTGCGAGCGCACTGGACGGCTTGCTTCTCTCGCTTCAAAAGTTCATCCGTAAACTCTCGCTCATCCGAGCGGCCTTCGGAGTTGGTGTTGGTGGCGCTTCTCGTGCTTTCATGATCATCATTGTTATCGTCATCGGCATCTTCGTTTGAGAATGCACCGCTATAGCGATCCAAAAACTCATCGGCACGAATCGAGCCCTCGCCATTCATCATCTTCGCGGTGGTGGCTGTCGGTTTCAGCAGGCTGGACTTTTATCAAGGGCTCAACGGGAGCTGTTGCTTACAGGTTCGGTGCGATCTTGACTTGGCTTGACTTGAATTTATGGAGCTAGCCTTTAGACGGGACACCAAAGGAAGGAAGAAACAGCAATTACAGGACCTCAGGAGCTGGTGGTGCAAACGTAAAGTGGCTATGTGGCGGAAACGGCAATAGATAGATATTATTGAATCCGGTATCAGCGTCCTAAGGCAGTTTTACTTTGCTGGACGCTTTATGAGAGATTGAAATACCTGTAATAGAACAGACCAGCTGAGAGACGCTAAAGCCGGCCGAAAGGAAACTCCACGAGCACTGAGTATGATGTTCTACAAGGAGGCACTACGCTCAATTGCCCTTGCTATTTTAAAACCCATTATGCCTCACACAAGTTATCTACTGGAGTGCATGTACCCTCCACACAGCTCCAGGAAAAATCTGTTGGTTTGTTGGTTTAGCCCAAAATATTTCTGAAAAAAGAAAATGACTTTGCCTTTGCCAGCCATGACCGACTTTTGGTTCCTTATTTAGGGTGCTGAAGGGATTCTAAGTTCAGCAATCAGAAGGCTTCTTCTCTTTCAGCAGTCTATCAAGGACATTGTTAAGGGGATGAGGTATACTTCCTAATATGCTACCATTGTGATGTTTTAGATTACCTCATCCCCCTCAATATAACATGAAATTGAGGAACCTGCTGAGATTGCGTGATTGCGAAGCGTCAGTGGGTATTTTCGAAGAGACTTTCTGACTTGCCTTAATTGATACCTCCTTTTCTATCAAATATTTTGGTCAAAACATCTTGTTTTCCTTCATTTCTTATTAATACTGCTTTCCCAGAGGTGGGTTGGTTCCAAGGGTCAAGCGAAAGCATGGGAAACTGCTCAGTATTCTTTAGTAAAAGGATGTGCACCTGGAACAGTGCAACCGTGCAACCTCCGCAAGCTCGAAGCGCCACCATGCTTCGCGGAGTTTTTGCAATTGACGCGATAAAGGCAAAAAGGCCCCCCGATACTGCTTGAATCATCCGTTTGCCACCAGCTTTCGGTGAAACATTCTTTTCAGCTTTACGGCAACACATTCTGGCCTTGTTCATAAGATTGTCATGATTCTTTTCAGCGCACCGAACCTGGTTTTGGATCTTACAACATGTAACTAAAAAGACTAGACAGGCTAGACTAGTTCTGATGAGCCGTCGGACCTAAGCAGAGAGGAGGTAGAGGGCGAAACTCCAGGAGTAGACTGTAGTGCATTGCTAGCTAGTATGGCATACCGGTATCTCATAGTTGCTGATCACTGAAAGGAAGGCCACCCTCTCAAGATTTGTTGGAGCTGTGGATCAATTTCATCCCCTCACTCAATGCTTGTAGGAGCAGAAGTGATGAACTGTTCAAAGGAAAATTATGTGACTGCGCAGTGTTTTGAAGAATTTCTTTACATGGATCTGATGACAAGTTGTACTGGGATTTCTTAGTCTATTTTGTGTTGATCTAGCAGTTTTTGTGAAAGACTAACTACAGTACCATAGAGCCAGCTAGTTTCGTAGCTGGCTACTAGCTCATTGGCTAGCTAGTAGTAGCTACTTCTCAGAAGAAATTTCATTCCTTTATCGCTGGCTGCCTCTCTTTTCAGTACGACCGTATTCTTAATATCAGGTACGAAGTGTGTCCTTGGCCATTTGAACCAAGAACAACATAGAACTGAAAGGAGTATGTTAAGTCGAAAGCAGAGCAGTCACAACGAACCTGAAGTCTTGACAACATGACTGCGGATTTAACATCAAACAGGACAAAAAAGAATGACATTGTGTACATACATGTACTACTGACCTCGAGTTATGACTCTCGTGGAAGGAGAATATGGGCCGTCTTAACTGTATGCCAGATGTCCGGTTTCCATGTTGCTTTTACAGTGTGTGTATTAATAGTCTATTGGTGTAGTGGGGTTTTATTGGCTCGACTCCGCAAAGACAACCGAAGCTTGCACCAGAAAGCAACCCACATCAGCTCCCACATCGACTTGTTAAGCACTTGAGAGAGAAGGATTAGACCAAACGTAGCTTGTAATTTCTTACTATGAATCTTAAGCCTTGGGCTGGAGTTGCTGTTCTTTTTGCTCCTCGAGTACGGTATGAGGATGCAATAGTCGCTAGCAAGTAGGGCAAGTTATTGTTTATTGGAGATTCGAGAGCAAACTCAAGCGAACTGCGAAGCAAGGCAACGTGAGCTTGGTCCATCAGCAGTGTGCGTGCATTATACCGGTATTCCCTGCATGCAGTATTGAAACCTTCCTGAACCAGTGGAATGGAGAAGGGAAGGCTTTGCTGCTGGGCTGCGATTGGATTGATCGTTCCGTTATTCTGTGTGTTTTCTACTGCTGTGTGTGCTGAGTACCGTATGGTTTGCCTCGTCCCATTGCATATAACGGTACAGGCATACTGGTACGGGATCGTGGCTTGCTAGCTAGCCAGCCACTATTAGTAGAGAGCTCCACTACTACGCTAGCTAGCCAGAGTTCAGAGCGTACTCGGAACAGGACCCGGGTGGCACACAAACAGGTTTCACTGTCCAAATCGAATACCGCTTTCAACGATGTTCCGCTACTGTATCTGTTATCTGCATGATTCCACCATCGAGTCTTGCTGCTTTAGTACTTCATCTAAAGACATAACCGTCAGTGTGAGTCACAGATACTTATCAATTGGTTTATTCAAAGCTTTACCATAAAAGAATTCAAAAGCATTTTAAAATTCAGAAATGAAAGAACACTAGGTTGTGGGATTTGGGATTTAACCTACCCCGAAACCAAGAAAATTTTTTTTGTGAAGTCGGAGGGTGGCCTGGGAACTTCTGGGATTTGGTTGTTTTTTGCCCTGGATAGTCTACTACCAGTAGTACTGCTGCACCGTACCGAGCAATGGCAGAACGAGTTTGCTGGCTCGCTACTGGTGGTCTCGGAGAGCTCCTCGGAGATAATAATATATATGTACTAGTAGTTGTGCTGTCCGCTACCGGTACAGTACTGGTATCTCTATAGGCTATAGTAGTGGTCTGACGCCAAACTAGCTAGTCCATTGATTTTCCCTTGCCAAACGCTCAAAGCTGAAGGTTGGCGCAAATTAATGTGTCAGACATGAAAGGTGACCAGCCCTGTAGTCGTTACTACAGCAATGTGATAGATCCCCACAATTTGCTTAGTCTAAGCAGGCGGCCGTGTGTCAACGTACCATCCACTCAAATCTTAAAAAGTGCCCAGTAAATCAGGAGCCAGAACCACAGTTTCCGGTTTCAAGAAGACATGTAACCTTGATGAATTGGTACCGGTTGGTCTGGCAGCGATTATTGGATTGCATCTTTAGACCACAATTGCTCTACAAGTTCTATCCATGACATCTATCCAGTCCTCAAATGCCAGGATGGAGACACCAACATCTCCAACTCCAAAACACCCCCCACCTTCAAACTGACAAGATGATTGACTAATCCTGATTTCAACTCCAAAGCAATTCCTAGCAAACTCTGTTCAGCTGCTCTTCTTCTCAGAATGACCTGCCCATCCCCATCTCTAGCTCGATATGAAAGATGTCATGCCATGTGCCCAACAGATGATACAACTGCTGTAAAGCTGCAAACTCAATCGAAGATTGCCAGCTGTACGGTGGGCTTGCATCTTGTATCCACTCTTGTCCCTTATTACGTGTACAAGGGTTGACCAAGCACACCGATCCTACCAGCTGTCTAGCCGGCAGGAATCCAGGAAGTGAATAAAGGGACGTCTGAAGGAAGTCAAACTTAGATGGGTAGTTGAGTTAAAAATAGGATTAAAGTTACATATTATTGTACTTTGAATATTTGACTCAATAATTGCTTTTACCACATCTACCTCAGCTTTCTTCAAGTGTTCATGAATTATTGAAGATACCGGTTTGGTCTCTTTGGAGCACTGCTGGGTAGCTACCGTACTGTACGTTGTACATGTACGAGCTACGAGTACGTGTAGACTACTACAGGCTGCACAGACAACAAACAACCCAGATACCAGATACCACATATCATACAAGCACTCCGGAATACCCTGGTCTGACATAAGACAGACACCTTCTTTGCAAAATTCCCCAAATTTTGCACCACTATAAAACATATGTACTGTAGATAGATCAAAGTACTTTGTGGATTTTAAAAAGGAGATTAGATGATTAGATAGATGTCTAGAAGCCTCCGTGGATTTCCCTTTGTGTATTGTGTAGAGTGTACAGTACACTTTTTTACTCAGTAGAAGGTTTGTATCACCCGTACCGTACCGGTACGGTACCGTAATCGGACGAAGCAACGGCGAAAGGTATTAATAGTACGGTACTCCATTACTGTACCTTAGAGGAGTCCCAGCTAGCCAGTTACTCTGGAGCCAATGCCAAATAAATGCACTCAGTCAGCTCAGCAGCCTCGAGCCTCACCAAGAGACAAGAACGTGCTGCCAAAAAATTACACGCATGCTGCGACAATCGTGGTTTCCCATTTGGTGACATATTGTCTTCTCATAAAACTCAACAACCAACAATAGAAACAGGACAACACAGCAACAACCATGTCGGTGATAGGATCCGTATTTTCGGGGATTAGGCACAGCCTAAGGGAAAGCTTTCTTGGAGGGGACAGGGATATCTGGGCCGAGACACTCAGGGCAGAGTATGCCCACACCCCGGACGACGAAGAGCTTTCCGACTCGGACGACGAAGACAGCGTCTGTTCGTATTTGTCCTCCAAGTACAACAGCAGACCGAGCTTGGTGGAAGCGAACACTGCCAAGGCGGCTGCCACAGAGGTTGCCTCCGAAACGAAGGAAGAATCCACAACACCGCAGGAAACAAGCGCTACACCTGTGACAGACCAAAAAACAGAGGAAGCACCCAATGTTGCCCCGGTATCAGTCCCAGTAACTTCACGCTCAGCAGTCGTAGTCCCAGCACCCTCACGTCCATTGGTGGACAAGTTGAAAGCTACAACAGAGGTGGCTTCCAAGACGTCCATTCTAGACATCTCATCCCACTCCAACAAGGACGACGATGGGAAGTCCAAAAGAAAGTCCAGAGTGCATCGTTCCCACAGTCACCGCTCTCATAGCCACTCTCCCCATAAGGACAAGAAAAAGTCGTTGCTCCGAAGAACCAAAACAACCGGATCCTCGGGTAATAAGGGATCCTCCCCTTCTAGATCGGGAAGGTCCAGGAGGAGCCAAAATCCCTTGGCCAGGAGCACTTGCATGAATGAAAAGCCAGCCTTTGACTGGGCGGCTTATGGGAAAGCCAAAGAAATTGTAGAGACCAGGAGACAACAATTGTCGGTTGCGCATGGGGAAAAGAAGCCAAGGGATATCACTCCTACCAGAAAGCCACGGGACGTCACCCCAACTAGAAAGTCCAGGGATGGTACCCCCGAACGAAAGCAAAGGGATGTTCAACCCGAGAGAAAGCCGAAGGATTTTCAACCGGAGAGAAAGCCAAAGGATTTGGCTCCTGATAAGAGGCCAAAGGACGCCCCGCCAGAGAGAAAGCCCAGGGATGTGGTTCCTGAACGAAAGCCCAGGGATGTTACACCCACCAAAAAGAGTCGACCCTCGTCCACTCATACCAAATCGCCACGAAGACAACGAGAATCGGTTTCTAAATCGCCACGAAGGCCACGAGAATCGGTTTCTAAATCGCCACAGCGACATTCTTCCTCTCATTCCAAATCGCCACGTAGGCAACGAGAATCGAGTGCCAAATCGCCACAACAGCGACAGTCGTCCTCAAACTCCAAATCGACACAGCGGCGACATTCTGCCGCCTTTTATTCGTCTGTCTTACACAACAGCTTCCAGCACATATCCCTCGATGAACGCAAATATTAGGGACGAACAAAACGTAAAAGGGATGACACAAAATCAACTGGGTGGGGGCATGCATACAAACAGCTAAGCACAAAGTAGAGAGAAACCCAATCAGGGAGAACTTAAAACTGCTACTAACAGCCAGTATGGATTCATGAAGCACAAATCTTATTATTTTCCAAGCTTAGCGTTTCCATAGATTCCAGTTCTTAGGAGGAATAGTATCTTTGGGCCTCGTTCTCGTTGCAACTATGCATAGCTGTCGGTAGCTAGCTGGTTAGTGAACATAGTAACTGTTCCTCTGAATGCCAAGACGGGGGCTGGAGAATGCAAGCTCTGCCGGTAGCCAGCCAGGACACATCGCGTTGAGACTTGCGTACTGGTACCGGTACGGATCGAGGTCTGCGCTGGCAAAACTAGAGCCCTTTTTCTCGTGGGTTACCTAACAAGCACGTTTGCTGGGTTTCTTTCGCGTAGCCGTTGCAGTGGGGATTTTTCGTCGTCACTGAATCTTCTCGGAATTTTCTGAGAACGACCACAAGCAATAGCACGAAAGTGTTGTCGAAACCTCGTTGTCATCGTCCTAGAGCATTCAAGATGAGTATTATTCGTCGCCCCAACAAGCCGGCACCTCTTTTGGAGGAGGGAGGAGAGCAGAGCAGCACCGTGTCGACGGATTCATCGTTTGCTGGCAACGGAAAGCCAGCTCCCTCCACGTACCTTTCCCTGGAAGACTTGCCGGTCGGAGAAGGAGTCTTCTCGAAGATTTGGGAATTTGATCCTACACCCGATACCCTCAAGACACTGTTGACTGGCTTGACTGTGGCTGGTTTGGTGTACATGGTTTTCTCGGTTTTCCTATGGACTGACATTGTCGGAGTGGATGGAAGTTGGGACGAAAGTCACGGATTCGAAAGGTATTCCTTTTGGGCTTTTCCACAATTGATGGCTGTTGCCTTGGGGCTGCCAAGTGAGAGGTTATACAACCTCCTCTTCTTGACATATGGAGCCTACTTCCTGCTTTTAGCGGCGGATTTGGTGCTTGGTTCCGCAAGCAGCCCCAATGACAATCGCACCCATCCATGGCCAAAGTCTTGGAAGACCGACAACACATTGTGTTATCACGATATGTTCTGCGAACCTACGCGCTTTGGTCGACTCCTGAGACGACCTGGCAATACTCTTTCCAACGTGAATTACATGCTGTCAGCCGCTTGCGTCTCATTCTCCACATTCTCGGGCAATGAGAACGTTTTCTGGATGGGTGATGCTCTTTTTGGAGCAATGCTCTTTCTGTTGGGCATCTTCTCCAACCTGTGGCATGCCAGCAATGCTCCCTGGACTCAATATGCCGACTTATGGTCCATGGATAGCTGCATCCTCTATCTCATCATCCGCCACGTTTGCTTTGGAGCGTTGTCCTTCATGCTCAAGTCTGTGACAACCAACAGAGCCCTGGCCCAGCAGGTGGCTGGTATGGCTAACTATGTGATTTTTGCCGCTGTTGTGTTTGCTCTGGGCAAGTTGCAATGGGCTTTGTTTCAAAAGGGATGGCTGCACAGCCAATGTCCTTTCTCTGCCCGTTCTCGGCTGCATGGCAAGAGTTGTTTCTTTGGAGGAGGGCAATTGGATTGCCATGTCACAACCATTTGTTACTTTGCTGCCATGCCCGTGGGCTACACCGCCGTTCCCACTTTGATTCAGGTATGTTTGATAGGATCAACGGGATCTGTGTCAGCCGCCAATTGGGCTTTTTGGAGCTTGATCATCGGCTGGATCTACCGGCTCTGGGACCGATGGGTGCTAGATGGATGCGTTTTCATGAAATACTTTACGGCTCCCGGCAAACCAACTCTATTCCATACCATTGGGGCTGCACTCTTCTCTCCTACTGCTTCTTTGCACTTCTTCACCGGAATCACGCTGCTGGCAGCATACACCCATGCGCGGTCATTGGAAGAATACGTCTGATGGATGCATGCATGGCTTTTGCGATTGCACCAGTTTAGTTGTGGGGTAGGAATTCTACCATACATGTAGCTCCCTTTTACAAGGGTTTAGTTTATACATGAGTTTGATGATAATATGTAAGTTGATAGTGTTACAATCAACATCGCTTGATGTGAACTGCCTGAGACAGACACGAAGCCCAACAGTGCGCATACTCCAGTATCATAGCACATGCAGCTTGCAAGCTGCAAGCTACATGAAATGATGACAAATCGCCACGCATAGAGTAAATCATAGCTCAGCCAGCCGGATTGAGAACAACTATTAGGTTTTGGCTTCTGCGGCGTCCTTGGGGGTCGCACCAGCAGGATACCGGTTCACAGGGGTGAACTGTCTACAGGCGAGCGAAAGAAGGAATAGAATTCAATATAGAATCGTTGATATTTCATCTGTTGGAGCTTGGTATGTCCTCAGTGCGATTCGATTCCTGTCTGACGAGAGCTTGCGCTGGAGAAGCTGAATGCTTCAATCCTCTTGGATATTTTCAAGCCCTACTACACAAGTTCCCCTTCTTCTTGAGGACACTGAAACAGCCAATTGCTGCTAATGCCATGTCTCTAAATTCGGTGGTGGCTGGCTGGCTGTCTATTTGCTCGAATTTAACAGCTCTGAAGCTGGCCAAGCGGGGGAAGCTAATCCATCGCTCCCTGGTGGACATGCAGCTTTTAATATTCTGCCATTTCCATCCACCTGTGAGCTGCCTGATGTGCTTCTTTTCATGCCAATGAATTTGCGTTGTAGCTCCGTTAACCAAGCGGGGGAACCCTTGGAGAGATGACGGAGCGAAGTGCTCTAGCACGCACCCCTTTTAGCCAACAAGGAGCCAAACTGTAGATCGACAGGCAATCGCAGGAGCCAATGATTTGTCCCAACAGCGATTCTGGTCTGCTGTTGCTGCTGGCACTATTGCACCACGAACTGACCCTTACTCCGAACCTGGAGTTTGAAACCCGGCCCAGCAGGTCTACTACAGGAGCCACTTGACCAGCCAAAGGGCTCCTGGACGTTGCAACCCAGCAAGTCTACTGGACCTGGACCTGGGACCTGGACAAACTGACACTGTACTGGACAAGGTGGACGGGGGGGGGGGGCGTTTTGTTAGCTTGTTGGATGGAGCTTTCATCCAGCGGACAAAACTGGGCCAAAAAGCTGGCCTGGGCCATTTGTGGCTGGCAGCGACAGACGTCTACATGTAGACTACAGGAATCGAATGATCTGCTGAATCATTCTACCGGAAGCGCGTGTGTTTCAGCCACTGGCGGTGCAATTGCGGAAACAATCGAACCGAATCGAATCCAACGTTAGACAGTCAAGCATTCACAATTCACAAGCTCCTCGCAGAAGTCTGAAGTCTGAAGGCAGCAAGAGAATCGAAGGATTTTTAAAAAGGCATTCACTGGAGTTTCTTTTCACTTTACAGGAGAGATACATGATGAATTAATTAGCTATGAGTTCATGAAGCGTACGGAGATCGGAGTACATTTGGGCACCGGTACATGTACTTGTTGTACGGTACTATTTTTTTTAAATAGTTGTTAGTAGTGCGGTACAGTAGTTGATGAGCTACCGGTACCGGTAGCTGCGGTGGTTGAGCTGTACTCAGTACAGTAGTTGATTGTGATGAGCTGAGTGACGACACCGTACCGGTATACCGTGGTACTAGACTAATAAAAGGTAGAAAAGTGGTACTGGCTTCACTTTCTTCGGGGCTCTGGCTGTCTAATCGGTTTCTTGATTCAACTGCGACAGGGCAGAAGCTGAATTTTTCTCCGATTAACGAAAGGAAAGCTGACTTTAAATCTGAAGGAACCCATAGAAAGGTTACGGCATTTCACAATGCCTTCCCATAAGCAACCACTTCATCAACCGAACTCCAGCAGTCATTACTTGTTCTTCCCTTCGCTTCCCACAAGGAGCTACTGTACTAGTACTATGCATACAATCGTAGTACTACTAGTCTAGTACTTTTAATAAAAGCAAGGCCTCGGCGCAGTAGCAAATAAAACTACTAATCTTTGTGTCAATCAAAAAAGGAGCTAATTCACTGGCTTGGGCAGCTTGTTTTTCACCTCTCACAAACCGAAAAGTTGAAACTAATTCTCAAAAGATAAACCTACTGCAGTAGAAATAGCCCAAGCTTTCCTCTTCCTTTTCCTTTACCGTCCACAAACCATGTGCCGCTGTTTGATGAACCGTAAAAGCATGCAAGCTCCATCGCTAAGCACGAGAACGAAGGCAATCGCCTGTCCTTGTCTTGGTCGGTCCAAGGCAGCCCCTATCAAGAAAGCAAACCGAATCAAGAAAGCGGTGCGTTTTTCGACGCACCTCAACAAAGTCAATGTGTGCCATATTCCATTGGATGTGCGAAAGCGCACCTGGCATACTCGTGAAGACTACCAAGACATCAAAATGGAAGCAAAAAAGTTTATCTTGCTCGAATCCGGTCGCTCCGCAGCGAACGGAGTCCCGCCATCTCCTTTGACCCAATTGCTGGAACAAGAAAACAACGACTTCACTCCTCGAGGATTGGAGACGATCATGTCGCCGCAAGTTCGATCCGTCCGGAAAGAATGGGTCGGCAACACAGTTCGAGGCGTCCTACTTCTCCAGCAGATTCACAAGATGATGGGAGTTCAAAACCCAGAGCAACTGAGAGAAATCTCCACCAGCGCCTCGCAGTCCTCAGCTTTTTGCGCCCAGATGCTGGGAGCGTCCGATGCCGAGGAGTGCTCCTCCTGGGGCACTCAATGCTAACGGTCTCAACTTGGTAACCTCCATACCAAGGTCGGGCAACTGAGAGAGACGAGCTGCATGCCTGTCAACTTGCACAGTGAAGGGAAGCCTTTGATAATAAAGAGTGCATATTCTAGGTTCATTAAGATCTAACTAGTACATGTAACACTTGAAGCATGCGTTCCCGTCATGGGTGGACTGATAGCAGTGCTACCGGTACAGCTGCCACACTCCTCAAAGACTCGGTCCTGGATATCTGGCAATAGAGGGATGGCCCAATCATGAACCATTCCGTCAAGATCTTGCCCGATCGATTCCAGGTAACGAACAAGATCACCACGCCATCGCCAATGTTTCCCTCGACCCCTCCTTGAAATTCAACAATGGAAATAACTAATGAGAGTAGCAGGAGAAAGCCTAGTACCTTGATCATGAAACACATCTTCTGTTCATGATCTACCTTGCTTTTGTTTGTGCAATGAAGAGACGAAAGTGCGCAGTGGATGTTGGTCCCACGCTATGCACCTTGGCCTTTCGCCGCTGCCGAGCGTGAGGCACAACAATTCGTGAAACAAATCAGAGGCAAACTCGTTCTTTCTGTGACTGGTGTGCGTGCAAGAATGACTTCACCGACAAACTTTTCCGACGGAGTCGTGGTGCCGAGCAACACGGCCGGGGCTCCGTCTTGGAGGGAGTTGCTAAGAAACGAAGGTTTGCCTTAGGGCTCACAAATCGAACAACAAAACCATAACCAAAAACTATCAAGTAAACAACTAACTAAATTTTCAAGGCCATATCATGATCCTGAATGCAAAGACCATCGCAGTTCTCGGAGCCCTTGG